AGAGTAGTTAAAGTCCCCCATTACTATTGTCATGTGCTTCCTACATACCTTAGTTAGCTGACTAACAAAAAGTTCATCTATTTCCTCTGTTTGGTTGGGTGGTCTGTAGTATACACCTATAGCAATGTCATTTCCCACCCCCTTTTATATTGACCCAAATGCATTCAAGACAGTTTTTATCATTGTTGTACTCTATTTCTGTGGAGATATAGTTATTTCTTATATAGAGAGCAACTCCACCTCCTCTTTTATTTTGTCTGCTTCTTTTAAATAATTTAAATCCCTCTAGCTGTGTGTTCCATGTGTGGGTTTCATCCCACCATGTTTCCGTAATGGCAACAATATCGTATCTGCCCTCATTAACCTGAATTTCTAGTTCACCCTGTTTGCTGTTCATACTCTGTACATTGGTGTATAAACATTTGAGTCCTTTGTGGGTGGCCCTGTGTTTCCTTTCTACATAACCTGTGTGGTGCCTGAGTTCCCCTATTGTCTTACCACCTATTTGGTTAGTGCACTTTATGTGGCACTCGCTATTAGAGGCTTCATTTTGCTTGATAGCAAGGTTGGTATTCTTGTCCACACACACATCTATGCTACATGCACTGATAGCCCTATAGTTTTTAAATTGCCGGGGACAGGGTTGTTCCGTATCAATTAACTCCCTGTCCCCGCTGTTTAGTTTAAATTTCCCTCCAGAAAATCTGTGAATTTATAGCCGAGTAACTCAGTCCCTTTTTTTGATGGATGCAAACCATCTCTTTTGTACATCTTTTGATTGGACCAGCTACTGACATCATGACTAATATATCCAAAGCCTTCCCCTTTACACCACTCCTTTAGCCACATATTGAATTGTGCTATGCGCTGGCCTTTTCCATTTTGCTCCTTATACACTGGCAAAACCTCTGAGAAAGTAAGCCTACAGCCTATTCTGCTAAGTTCCTTCCCCAAGCTCTGGAAATCATTCTGCACAGAATGTCTAGAAACAGATCATTCATTCTTTTGGAGCCCCACCAAATAGTGAGCCAGATGAAATTAATGTAGTTACAATGGACACTGTTATCAACTCATACAGCAGCAGAATCTCTGACTGAATTGGTGGCAACATCTTCCCCAAAAGGGTTGCAGGAACAGTGATAGCCATCTACAAATGCCTCTGATACACTTTGACTTAAGTGAGGATTTTCAACAGAAGAGCAACCAGAAGGAGGACAATCTGGCAATTTTAAAAGATGAAGAAAGATTGATCTTGCACCATTAAAAACAACAACTTCATTTCCCCTGATGCCATGTTTTTACCAAAAGGACTGCTCGGTAACTAAACCCCACTCCAGAAGAAAATTCACAAAACTTTGGATCAACCCACTACCAAGAACAGTCTACCAAGAACAACGCCTCTAGCTCCGCAGACTCAATCAAATATTCGAGATCTTCAGAACTCTTCTAGCATTGAGCCTCAGATGAACAACCTTAACACCAATGCATTGGAGTGCCAGGGGAAGACTCACAAGGAAATTAGAGGAAACATTGCAACAAAGAGAAGACAGTATGGTATAGAATTGCATTGACCAGGGATGCTGCTTTGGCAAGTAGAGTCTTCAAGGAAAAGCAAAATCACCAATCAGTGTGTATACCTGAATATATCAGGTTCCATTAATCTCACATCTGCTGATGATTGAGAGAATGGGATACATTACAACCCACCCCTAAAAAAACTCTTTTTAGACAAGAGTATAGGTAAACTAGTCCTGGTGTCTCACCTTTTGATTTTGTATTCGGTTGCATATTGAGAAAACGTAGGCTCCCCTTGGATATCTCTATACCTGCCTCCATGTGAGAGAAATATTACCTCCAATTCTTCACTGCCCCAAGTTGTATTGGACTACAGGGTCCCAAAATATGTTCTACAAATGTCCTGTACTCCTGTACTACTCCACCCAGGATGCCAGGAACTGACTGAGAGACTAGAGGAGTCATTCAGATTTTGTAGTCCAGCAGGTCTCCTAAGAAACGTTTTCTACACCCTAAATTATTGAAATGTCCCTTTGATTGGTGAGCTCCTTTATCTGCAAATTTATTGACCCATATCCATAACTCCTATCAAAATTTCTACTGAGGTCCCCATTTAGCAAAAGTGTGATAAGGATGACCCTTCAGTTATAGATTAATTAGTCTCATGAATATCGTAGCTAAATCATAGGCCAAATGCCTTTGATACAAGAATGAGGACTGGCTAATTGAAAAGGGCTTTCTACCCAAAGAGTAAACTGGTTTTAAGTCTGGTCACTTCACCATTGATAATTGTTTCATTTTATGTCATCTAATAGAAATATATACCATTAAGGAGAGAGAGGCGTTTACAACTTTTATAGTTGTTTTAAAATTTTTAAAATGAATGTTCTTCTGAAAGTGTTGTTTCTATTTCAATGCATACAAATTTGGCTTAAAAAGGATTTTTTTACAAATTTGGATAGACTCATTTCAAAATTCATATGGCAAGGGAAACGACCAAGAATCAGATTAAAACTATTACAAGACGCTAGAGCCGTGTTTCTCAACCTTGACAATTTTAAGGCATGTGGACTTCAACTCCCAGAATTCCACAGCCAGGAATGCTAGCTGTGGAATTCTGGGAGTTGAAGTCCACATGCCTTAAAATTGTCAAGGTTGAGAAACACTGCGCTAGAGAAAGAGGAGGATTTGACCTACCAGACTGGAGAAAGTATTATCAGGCAGCAGCGTTGTTCTGGCTAAGCGAGTGGATGCATCTCAAAAATACAAGATTATTAGCAATAGAAGGTCATGACCTACAGACAGGGTGGCCTGCTATTTTGTGGGAAGAAAGACATTTAGCCCAGCAATACTTCCAGAAGCATTATATTAGGAGAGCACTATTGGATATCTGGAAAAAAATAAAAAGAAATAATTATATGAAAATCCCCAACTGGGTGTCTACATTAGAAATGTACACACATCCAAATTTGATAAATGTGGTGGTGCTGTCACCTATAAAGATATTTTGAATGAGAGAGGAGAATTAAAAGTGAGAAATACCTTAAAGGAAGAAGGAATTGATCTGGAATGGTGGGTGTATCTTCAGATCCAATCCATATTTAATAAAGACAAAAAGGAACGGGGAATAAAGCAAGACTCTTCAGAATTAGATGAAATCTTATTTAGTAGGGAAGGCAAGACTATAAGTAAACTATGTCGACATTTATTAGAGCAAGATATAATTGAGGAACAAGCAGTTCACTTATGACTTTGAGGACCAGAAAAAGCAAAGACTCAGATTTGAACTGTTAAAGCAATGGAGCTTTATGGTTAAGAGAAACAGAGGGCCAATACAGAGGCCAAGATGGTTTTCACTGATTCAAATTATATTGCAAGCAACAAAGAGAGACTTATCAGCTGGAAGGGAAGCTCTGCTATGGAAACCTGTTTGGCATAAGAAGAAAGCCAGAATAAGAGTGAAAATAAATGAAATTTAAAATTGTATGTAATGGACTAAAGGCAATCTAGAATTATGGATTGATTTAAGGACTAAGATTATGAGCTAGAAGTAAGAGAAAAATGAGCAATTAATGGAAGATATATATTAAATTGACTAAGAATGTATTTTTTGGACTGATAGGTTTATCTATGTGAAAATTATTATGTAATGGAAGGAAGAAAATTGAAGAGATGTTTTAGATCTGGATTGATTTAATAACTAATGGAATGTTAATCTAATAAGATTATTTGTTTGTTTGATACCTAATGGATTGAAATGATCTATGGCAGTGCTTCTCAACGTTTGTGTGACGGCGACCCCCGTCACACAAACGTTCTGCGCATGCGCGGCGCTGCGCGCATGGGTGCGGGCCCCCATGTGCGGCACGCATGCATGATGCCCTCCATGCGCGGCACGCATACATGGCGTTGCCCCATGCGCGACGCGCATGTGCGGCGCGCATGTGCGGTGGCCCCCATGCGTGGCGCGCATGTGCGGTGGCCCCCATGCGTGGCACATGTGCACGGCACCGCCCCCATGCGCGGCGCACGTGCACGGCGCCACGAAAAATGGCAGATCGCCGCCTTTGGCGACCCCCGAAAAATAGTCGATCGACCCCAAATGGGGTCGCGACCCATAGGTTGAGAACCGCTGATCTATGGTTTGATATTATTTTGTCAGCTTAAAGAGATTGTTTGATTGATGGATTAGATAGGTTTAGGATAGATCAATATTTTAGCTTAAAAAAGAGATATTTTTATGTAATGGATTAAAGGTAATCTAGAATTATGGACTGATTTAAGGAATAAGATTGTGAGTTAGAAGTAAGAGAAAAATGGGTGATTAATGGAATATACATTTTAAATTGATTAAGAATGTGTCTTTTAGAAGGATAGGTTTATTTCTATGAAAATTATTATGTAATGTTGAGTTAATCTAATAAGATGATTTCTTTGTTTGATAATATGGATGTTATTAGTTATGATAATTAATTGGATGAAATTTGAATTCTGTCTAATAGATTGAAATGATTTAAGATTTGATTTTACTCTGTCAGCTTAAAGAGATCGATTGATGGATGGATTAGATATGTATAGGATACATTAATATTTTATTTTAAATAAGGGATATTAGTGGAAGAAGAAATAAATAAGATTTATGATAAAATTAAGAAACTAGAACATATTTTGAAGGGATACCTGAATTGATAATGTTTTTATTTAAAGTTAATTTGATTACGGTCTTGTAAATTTATAAAGCTTTAAAAACAGGTCCAGGATGAATAAATTTAAGCTAGAATTCTATTATTATGTTCTAGGATGTTTTAGGATGTTCTGTCTTGGGGTGTGGATGGGAGCCACACTCTTTCTTCTCCTGTTAGTTCTCTCAGCATTGTTTCAACTCTTCAAGCATGGCATCCTTTTGGTCTATCTGTGAATTTTGCCCTGAGTGGAGAACATTGTCCTTAGGAGAAATTTAGTAAAAATGAAAAAGATACGAAAAATAAATGGAAAGTAATATGTTTTATTGGAGCCCAAAAGGAAACAAAGATAAAGCATGATAAGCTTAGTTAGCACATTTTTCAAACATAGTCACTGGTTGACCTTGTTAGGTACGTTGTGTGACCCCAGCAATAGGTTAAAGAAGTTTCAGTATTGAGTAAATAGAAGCAAAGCACAATATTAAGTGAATAGGTACAGAGGAAACATTCGTCATACTGAATAACTATTCTGTAAATTTAATGCTTTTTATGGGGTTTAATTTTTAGCTTTTGTGGGAATAGCACACAGTTTGTAAGGGTGTGTATGCATTGTCACATTTAGAATAGGGGCTTCGTTGAGTTCTTTCACTCCTTCAGGCAACCGGAAGCTGAAGGCCCTCAACAGATTGGTCAGAAAGATGAAGATCTCAATTCTTGCCAGCTGCTCTCCCACACATATGCGTTCACCTGTAGATATAAAAGCATGAATAAAGGGGATAATAATCAATTCTCCAGAATATATCCCATCAGCAAAGAAACGTGAAAGAAGATTAAATCTTCCTATCTTCTAGTATTACCTATTGATTAGCACATTATTATTCAGTACACAGGAACAGCTTTTGGAGATAATGCTTTGAATCGATTGATGGGGTTAGCCATTGGTCAAACTGCTTTATTAAAGCAGTTTATGAGCCCTGGTGGGGCAGTGGTTAGAATGCAGTATTGCAAGCTAACTCAGGTCACTACCAGGAATTTGATTATGACAGACTCTAGCTTGACTCATCCTTCCATCCTTTCAAGGTCAGTAAAACAAGGACCCAGATTGTTGGGGGCAATATGCTGATTCTGTAAACCACTTAGAGAGGGCTATAAAAGCACTATGAAGCAGTATATAAGTCTAAGTGCTAAGTGCTTGCTATTGCTAAACAGAAATAACGCCAATTTGAGCAGACCATCTATTTCCAAATTGCATAGGAAGGTTTTTAGTAAGGAGGAACACTATTGGTGATACTGATAAAGTCTTAGACTACCTTCTAACCTTTAACATGTAACCTTTAGCAATAGCAATAACAATAGCGGTTAGAATTATATACCACTCCATTGAGCCTTAACACACTCTGGGAGTCATTTACACTGTCAGCATATTGCCCCCAACCATCAGGGTTCTCATTTTACTGATCTCAGAAGGATGGAAGGCTGAGTCAAACATGAGCCGGTCAGGATCGAACAGCTGGCTGTGGCAGTTCAAGCTTTAGCTGAGCTAAGCAACCCAAACTCATTTTATTATAAGGTGGATGACATGTGGATTAATTAAAACTGTCTTATTGTGACCCTGAAGATGTAAGCAAGATTATACTGCTTTTAATGATTATTTTATCATGATATGTATTTCCATGATTGGCATCATGGCAATGTATACTTTTCAAAATTGCATCAAAGGGGGCCCACTCCAAGCAGAGGTGTGCCCATTCAGAACTTGCTTCCGGGTAGATCTTTTATTTACATATAAAAGATTTTTTTTCCTTTCCACCTGACCAGTGTGGGTCATTGGGCCTGTATGTTTAGGTAGGAGGACATGAGTTTTGGGGGACAACAATAGTTTTTCATATCTATCATAACTGAAGGTGTGCCTTTTATGTCCTTTGTTATCAGCACCAGAAATAGAGAAAGATTCATTGGTGTACAAGCAGTACTAGACAGGATGAAAACGCTGTTGTAGGGGGAGCTCTGCAGCCATTAAAAAGAGTGAGCTTAATGCATCTAGGACCAAAACTCTGTGATGCAGATCCATCATTAAGAAGCTAAAAGTAGGCTTGTTTTCTTTGGATTTAGCTAATAATTCTCCCCCTAACAACAGAGATAATTGTGCAAAGCTCTACTGATTACCATATAAATATAATTAGTATTTCTTTGTAGTTTAAACTTTATAGCCTAAGAGGAACTTCAGATTCTCATGGTTTTGAAAGTAGAAGGAATAGAGATTCATGGATTTTCTATTCAGTCCATGATGACTTCAGAATAACACAGTGATGGGGGTGGTCGGAATCTATATGTGATAAACTGCTTTGGGCTCATGGACGTACCTATTCCGAAGGGCAGAAACTCTTCTCGTTCCATGAACTTCCCATCTTTATCTAAAAAGTGATTTGGGTTGAATTCTTCAGGTGTCTCCCATTGTTCAGGGTCAAGAAGAACAGAACGCAGGTCTGGCAGAATTATGGTCCTCTGCAAAAATATTCAAACAATATTAATGACATGTTTGGTTTTAGCTTGTCTTGATAGACCCATATTTGTTCATTTCCAAAGCAGTTTCTGAGAGCAGTGGCTGTTCTTAGCATTTCTCACCTTTGGAATGTGGTAACCCTTCATCGTCACATCTTTTGTACTTTGCCTGGGAAGCCCAAATAGCAAAACATTTTTTAAACGCTGCATTTCATGAATCACGGCATTGGTGTAGGGCAGCTTCTTCCGATCCTGATAGGAAATTGAGACCGAGGAACTAAAGGCTTCTTCAATCTCTTTCTGGACTTTCTCTAGAAAAAACAATAGAAATAGAAGCCTCTTTTTCATTCTTATGTTTCATTTACTCATTTCCAAATTTTAATCCTTAACAGAAGTTTAGGACACAGAATAGCCTTTAGGGCATTAAATGTAATCCCATCCTTTTTAAAAAATATTATGAAGGAGAGTAGATTGAAAATGCATTTCCTGTGCTCTGATCATATCCAGTGCAAACAGGTTCAGAATATTGATGCAAACTGTTGATTCAGTTTAAATATTCCATGGAATCTTTTTCAATCTACACTGTGTGCACAATTATTAGGCAAGTGAATATTTGGACTGTATCATCATTTTTATGTATATTTTCCACCTCCAAGCTTTATAAACATGAATGCTTAGTGGATATAAGAATATCAGGTGATGTGTAGTTATGTAATGAGGGAGGGTTTGGCCTAAGGAGATCAACACCCTTTATCATGGGATACATAATTATTACGCTGCTTCTTTTCCTCAGGCAAAAAAGACATTCAACTGACTCTGAAAAGTCAAATATTGTAAAAAGTCTTTCAGAGGGATGCACCACTCATGAATTTTCCACAGAACCATCAAAAGTTTTGTTGGAAATTCTCAACAGGATCGGAAGAAATGTGTTGAGAAAAAGAGACACACATTAACTGCCAAAGATATGAGAAGAATCAAATGTGAAGCTACCCAGGAACCCATTATCCTCCAGTGCTGACATAGTCCAGATTTTCAAGCTACCTGGAGTATCTTGAAGTACAAGGTTCTCCGTGCTCAGAGATGTGGCCAAGGTAAGGAAGGCTGAAACCCGACCCCCACTGAACAAGACACGTAAGATGAAATGGTAAGTCTAGGCCAAGAAATCTCTGAAGACAGAATTTTCAAAGGTTTTATGGACTGATGAGATGTGAATAACTCTTGATGGAGCAGATGAATGGCCCCATGGCTGGATCAGTTATGCGCACAGAGCTCCACTTTGATTCAGACACCAGAAAGGTGGAGGTGGGGTACTGGCATGAGCTGTTATTATTGGACTTTTTCAGGTTGAAGATGGACTCAAAATCAACTCCCCAAACTATTTCCAGTTTTTAGAAGAAAATTTCTCATGCAGTGGTACAAGAAAACGTCTGCCTTGTTCAAGAAGACTATGACTTTTACGCAGGACAATGCTCCATCGCATGCATCAAATCACTCCATTGCATGGCTAGCCAGTAAACGCCATAAAGCTGAAATAACAATCACATGGCCCCCTTTGTCATCTGACCTAAACCCTATTGAGAACTTGTGGGCCCTTCCTAAATGGCAGGTTTATGGTGAAGGAAAACAGTATACCTCTCTGAACAATGTTTGGGAGGCTGTGGTTGCTGCTGCACAAAACGTTCATCGTCAACAGATCAAGAAAATGACTGACTCCAATTTTCTTTTCTTTTTTGAAATATCAGAAATGTTTATTTGTACATTTTGAGTTCTTTTTTATTCTCACTTTAACAGATGCAAATAAACGAGTGAGATGGGCAAATTTTCATTTTTTTTCATTTAGTTACATGATAATTCTGCTCACTAATAGTTGCCCCAAAATTGTGCACACATAGATATTCTCCTAAAAAAGACAAAACTACACTTTTACTTTCTTAAATATTCAGGTTTGAGGTTTATTAGCATTTTGGATTGACCGACAGCGCTGTAGTTATTAAATAAAAAAATTAATCTTCCAAAATACAACTTGCCTAATAATTGTGCCCAAAGTGTAGTCAATCCCCAGAATTCAATCCCAAACCACTTTAGAAATCTGATTCGGTTTAAAGAAAGTTCTATAATTATCTTGAAAATAATGTGGATCAAATTTTTGTAAAGCACTCGTTTGTTTATTTATTTTTATTATTTTTTAAAATCATTATATGTATATGTTACCCATCTCACTGTTAAAGTAACTCTGAAGGGGAGGCTTACAATATAATAAAAAGAGAGAAAAGATAGTACAGAAGAATTAAAATAAAGAGGATTAAATAAACTAAAAACCAAGAGGATGGGTAACAAGGAGAGGGATCATTTCTCTGCAATACCAGTCACTCCCATAGTAGTGCACCTCTATCAGGGCTCCAGAGCAATTGGCAGAGCGAAGTTTTAAGACTCTTCCTGAAGATCCGCAGGGTAAGGGTGGACCTCACTTTCAGGAGGAGAATATTCTAGACAGGGGGGCCACAGCAGAATAACCTCTTCTCCTGAATACTGCCAGCTAAAATTCTATAGCAGTCAGTATCCAAAGTAGGTCTCTTCTGCTAGAGAAATTAGGACGGGCTTGTCACATTGGATTGAGACAGTTCCACTAGACCAGTGGTCCCCACCCTATGGGCCACAGCCCATTACCAGACCGTGGCCTCTTAGCCACTCGGTAATGTGAATACCTGGCCAATGTGATGTGCACATGTGTGCGCGCTCATCCCCCCTTGCGCCAGCACTAGCATTGCTGTGAGCCTCTTGCCAATATGAGCCTCACCATAGCCTTGCACCCATGCCACCAGCCCCATTTGCAGAATGCTCATGCTTGCGGCCCCATTTGTGCACATGCATGCACAGCCACATTTCCATGTGTGTGCATGCACACATAAAGATTCCTAGCCCTCCCTTTCCCACTGGGCAACCAACCAGAAATGTGGGTGCCCTGTACCCACTCCATACAAGGTTTTAAATTCACCTTGAACTGGACCCAGAACCAAAGTAGCAACCAGCTCAGCTCATGTAAAAGTGGTGTTAAATGTGCCACCCAAGGGATCTCTAGAAGTAGCTGCACCACTGGATTTGCTACCAGCTGTAGATTACGAACATTCTTCAAGGGTAGCCCAAGTAGAGCACATTGCAGTTATCCAAATGAGAGATTACAAGGGCATGAGTGACCCTGCACAAGTCCTCACAATCCATGAAAGGGTACAATTGGCAAATAACATGAAATTACACAAAGGGTCTGCTAGCCTTGATGCCACCTGCTCTTTCAATTGGAGTCATGAGTCTGGAAGAACCCACAAATTGCACACAGGATCTGTCTGACACCATCCAGTTCTGATTCCCATAGCCAGCTGAAAAGGATACCACGAGTGATGGTAGCAAAAGCCACAGACAGGAAAAGAAGAGCAATGATGGACGTGCTATCCCCATCCCACTCCCTCCAGAGATCATCCAAGTATGGTTAATGTCTCTGTCCCATAATCAGGCCTGAAACCTGGTTGAAAGGGGTCCAGATAATCCATTTCATCCAGGACCCATACTGCAACCATTTTTTCCACTACTTTCCCCTTCACTAAAAAGGGGAGATGGCAAACTGGACAGAAATTGTCAAGATAGGTGTGGTTCAGTGAAGCTGACTTAAGGAAGAGTCAGATCAAGGTCTCCTTAAATCAGTGGTTCTCAACTTGTGGGTCGGGACCCCATTTGGAGTCGAACGACCATTTCACGGGGGTCGCCAAACAACGCAGTCCGCCATTTTTTCCCCTTTTCCTTGGCTGTGCTAGTCCCTTTTATTCTATTGGCTTTTGAAAGCCAATAGAATAGACTCTCTTGAATAGAGTCTAATTCTATTGGCTTTCAAAAGCCAATAGGAATTGTCCAGGCTGTCTCTGCCCTGCTGAGCCCGCCAAAAGTCTCATTCTGCAAATGGTGCTGCAAGTTGTCTGCAGCGAAGGTGAGCTGTCTGGAAGTTTCCATCCCTCCCTGCTGAGCAGCTACTAAAAATGTAAGTAAAAGACAGTCAGGGGTGGGAGGCCGGCGGGGGCTGGGAGGGTTGCTGGCACGCGTGGGGCCCGGTGGGTGCCTTACCTCCCTTGGGCTGGGCCAGCTGGTGGCCCAGCCGGTGGTCAGCCTGTGCCGTCTCTGCCACTTGCCAGCTACGCCTCGGCCAGTGCAGGGGATGGCACCACGCATGCGTGGCGCTCCCAGGCAGGGAAAGTCCTCGACTTATGACTGGTTGGGTAGTCCTCAACTTACGACCAGTTGGGTAGTCCTCTACTTACGACCGGTTGGAGTCGTGGCATTAAAAAGGTTGAGAACAACTGCCTTAAATGGTGCTGTGAACATCCCTTTGTAGTGATGTGGCATTTTGTCACTCTTAGCACCACGAGGTAAGGACTTAATAGCAATTCTGTTTTTTGTATTCCTCCAGTGGCATTTGTCTCTTCAACATCCTCAACTCCTTCATAAACCACTGAAGTATCAGAAGTGATGGGCCAAGAGAGGGCATATGGGCACAATCCTGTCCATGGCTGCAGCTGTTTTCTGATTCCAGGCTGTGGCCAGAGCCTCCAAAGGGCGACACAGCAGATCCCCCAGGACAATCCCACAGCTTTTTCTGGAATCTGAATTGTCCATCAGTCATCAAGGAGGGACTACGTGTATAGGTCCAGCCTCCCTGCAGAGGGGGCAGTGCTGGAAAATCTCAAGGACACCACTGTGTAGTCTGACCATGACAGAGGGAATAATGATAACTCCCAGAGCAGATCACATTGCCACTGTTTTGACAATAAGATCATGTCTTCAAGGGTGTCCACTGTCCTAGGTTAGGCCATGGATAACCTGAAAAAGCTGCCGTGATGGCCATGAACACTGAAGCTGCTTCTGGGACTTTCCCCCGGCACCTATTTATATTCCTAGCCATCACTATTTGAATTACTTTTCCTAACCCCTACAAGATGCTCTTCTACCCCTAAACCTGACCTCCCACTGTGCTGGCAGACATGTCATTCTGCCAGTCATACAGACTCACCCAATATGGCATTTTCACTGTAGCTCTTAGTGCCAATGGGAATCCAGCTTCTGGGCTCTATGTGTGTTGGAATTCCAAAGTTTGCTGCCATAACCTGGTGTTCAACACCAGATGGCTCCAAATCCATCCCTAATCTGTGGAATTTGTACTCCTCATTTCAATCTCTGATCTGAATCACATACTTCACTGTGAAAGCCACTGTTGATTCTCTGGGCCAGTTCTTGCTTCCAGTCCCTGCCAGCGTGACATCTTTCTGAGCTGTCTCCAGCTCCAGCTCCAAGCTGGTTCTTTCCTATACCTCCATCAGCCTTCCAGCCTTAACACACACTCTTTGGCCTGGCTTCCAGCCCTTCATCCGTTTCAGACTGGCACTTGGTCAGACTCAAGGCCACCTCTCTACTTCCCACCATTCTCATAGGAGCATGGTGGCTCACATGGCTAGAATGCTGGGCTGACAATCTGCAAGCCCTTGTTCAAGACCTGAGGGCTGCTTTCTTGTTGGGTGAGTTCCTGACATTTGCTCCAGCTCCTGCTGACCTAGCAGTTTGAAAGCTTATAAATGTGAGTAGATAAATAGGTACCATTTTCGTGGGCTCATTTAGGGGACATGAAAGGAATCCCCAAATGAACATTCCTCAGGCATCATGATAGTACTTTTAACATCTTGGTACTTCCAACATTTTACAATGATGAACAGTCTATTCTCCTAGTTGTGTCCCTCAGTGCTGCAGACAAAGGCCCTAGATTGACTCCCCACCCCTCCACCCCAAATCTGTGGCCAGGGGTCTTCCCTGGTTGGCAGGATGAAAATGAAAGCCTGAGTGGGCTCCCAGCTCCAGACCAATCCCCTCTCTTTGCCACACCATTCTAGCTTGGTCTCTTCAGCTTCTGGTCTCCGGTCAAGGAGCAGACCCAGCAGTAACAGGGCAGGAAGAAAGTAGGATTAAGGAGAAGACTGAGGGCTTCATTTGCTGCTCCAAGTGGTAACTGCCTGTTCCTCCACAATTTCCCCATTCCTTCCCTTCATGTCAGGAAGACTTGTATTATGTATTTGCTTGCTGCCACCATCTTGACTTTTTTCTATATTTATTATCATGCTGAAATTTGGTCCTCTATATCCAATTTAGGCCAAAAACAAGTAGTAAATCTGAAAAACATGGTAGATTTCTACATTGAATGTATTAAATGCTTTAGATTTGTACTGATTCCAGTTTTTAGTTCCTCACTCAACATTTTATTGAGAATTCAAAGAAGGCGCTCTGTTTGTACATTCCTGGCTTTCCTTTAATCCTGCTAAGTTCATGCCCCTGCTTATAGGGTCAAGAATCTACATAAGAAAATTATTATGAAGAATAGATTCAATTGCTCATTCAATAGCTTAGAATTTCAAATAATTTCTGTATATTATAGAACCTGAGACTGGTCCTTGTTCCCACAACCCAGATTTCTCTCACCTTGGATGTCGGGATGATTGGTCAAGAGGAGCAGTGCCCACATCAGAGTAGCCATGGTTGTCTCTGTCCCAGCAGCAAAAAAATCAACAATACACTGAGCCAGGTTCTCTTCATTGTAGGTAGAGTTGGGATCATTCCTGCTCTGGTGTTTTAAATAGAAAATAAAAATTACAATGAATTCTATGCAAGTTTTTAATAGTTTTTTTATCTTTGTGTAGCAAGCCATGAGAATAAATATAATAAATATAATCCTGGTAGTTATATTGGAAAATCAATGCAGGAGAGTAAGAATTAAAGTGGTAGGTTCACATTGAGTAAGATACTATATTGAAGTAGCTAAGATCAAAGAAAGATTTGGCTTTGGAAGAATGTGAATTCATTTCCTTTTATTTTATGATTGGTTACCTCAGTAAATGCTTGCATGTGGAACAGTGATTAATGTGCACCTACTACAGTGAATCACAAAACATCAAAAGCAGGAGAATCTGCATGTATTCTAATTTAACGTTATGGCCAGAGGTGATGTACATGAATGATCTCACTACCAGCTTTTGTGGCTACTATGCCACACTATGACAATTCATGCATTTTTTAGAGTGCAGGAAGACCTCAACTTACAACCATTCATTTGGTGATTGTTCAAAGTTTCAACAGCAGTGAAAAACATGACTTATCACCTAATTTCATCCCCATGGTCATGTGATCAAAAGTCAGGTGCTTGGCAACAGGCATGTATTAATGACAGTTGTACTGTCCTGGGGTCATGTGATCACCATTCATAACCTTCCTAGCTGGCTTCTGGCAAGCAAAGTCAATGAGGAATCCAGATTCACTTAACAATCCCATGGTTCACTTAACAACTGTAGCAAGAAAGGTTATAAAAGGGGGTAGAATTCACTGTCTTACTTAGCAATAGGAATTTTGGGCCCAGTTGTACATCGAATAATACCTGTACTGGATTCTTGTGAGACCTCAATAACCTTTCACCAAACTAGTGTAATGTCCTGAAGAATTATGGGACAAACGAGACAATCCAGTCTACCTACCTATTGATGGAGAAGCATCTTGTGAAACAAACCACAGATATGACAATTACTGAGATAGAGAGGCATTTGAGCAAGTACCACATGACCTATTCCTTTCCCAACCAAATGGTCCAACCACTCACCATCGCTCTTTATAATTAGTGTGGACACTGTAACCAGAAACCTACAATTATAACACCCATGGATGCTATTATGTACTGATAATAGCATTATAGAGAGTGAAAAATGAACTGAAGCACTGCACCACCTTTGAACCATTCGTACACTCAAGACTGATGGTATCAAATTGTAAATAAAGTGACCAAGGACAATGTAACTTCAAACTGATAAAAGTTGTTTTAAAAAAAAATCAATCTTTTTCTGAAAACATTGGAGAGGAGGACTTTTATTGGTTGTTTCAAATTGTTGTACATTTTTACTTATGGCCAAAGCTGTGAACATATCTGTCCCTTTCCAACCATTTCAGGGTAATATTTGTTTAAGTATGAATCAATCAAATGTCTCTACCTTGTTAATTCTTTTCCTTCTTAATGGAACTTCTTTATAAAAGGGGGAAAGGAGTGGTAGGCAAACATCACAGGATGACAAACAAACATTTCTAACTTCCCCAAGGAACCTCCCATGTATAACAAGTGTCTAATATTACAGATGTACAATATAGTCCTTATTTAGAAGCAACCGGAATTTAGAATAGGCAAAATTCAGAATGGGAGTTGAATGAAAAAGAAATAACTCCAAGGAAAACAATACGAGTGTCTCCTCTTCTTATTTGCCCGTATTGAACTACAATAAACCCATACCTTCTCCATCTGAAGAAAATAGTGATCAATGAAATCTTGTGGCTCATGCAGACAGCTGGATTCCTTGTGTTTCTCTATTTCCTGCTTTGCAAAGGAATTGATCACCTCTATCGAAGCCAAGGCATCCTGGTGAGGGCCAGGGAGATAGTTCATTAATCGTGGGAACATAATAAACGTCTAATAGAAATAGAAAAGGAAAAGGTTGTTTATTTATTTCCCAATACAACAAAAGAAGACTCAGCAGTTTACAGTAATAGACAGCACTTAATAACCAAAGAAAAACATTGCAAGCTCATTGAAACATGGCAAACTTTACATGGTGTCAGGCCTCAAAAGTCCTCCAGAAAAGCTGTTTCCAAATTTTTCCAGAAAAGAATCAGGTTAGGGACAGATAGATTATTTTAAATCTAGTATAAAATTCTCTTATTCTCTCATTCTCTCCAGGAGTCTTTGCAAATATAATAACCTACGGCTAACTGATTTAATAAATTAGACCAACTGGATACACATGTGTGGGAAGAATCCAGAGAAAGAAATATTTTGGGGAATATTAAATAGGCAGAATATATTTCCCCAAAGGATCTTAAAGGCAGAAAAGCAAGCCCAGTTTTTCTTAATAGCCCCAAGCAGAAACCAGCTTTTAAAAATGCAGATGTAATAATCCATTCTGGAAGGTTGGAGCCAGGAATCTAGAAGCTCATGAGATTAAGAAGACAAAGACCCCTAAAATCTACATACCCAACCCAAACACTAAAAGACATGACCTTTGGTGACATAATAGGATTAACCCACCATCAGAATATCAAAAGGACACACCTCAAAAGCCCCGGAAGGTATAAAAACCCACCACTCCCAGCTACACGTGGTCAGATTTCCCAGAGCCATCTTTCTGCCTGGCTCTCCTCTTCAATAAACTACAACCTTCTTTCTAAAGCAGTCTCCATTTTGTTTATTCCCGGCTTGGACTGGAAACTGATGAAGACTTTTCTTTCAATATATGGCAGGCTAAATAATGAATTAACTACATGGGTTGGATTTTCGGTCTGCTAGCTACAGAATAACAGGGTCGGAAGGGACCTTGGAAGTCTTCTAGGCTAACTCCCAGTTCAATCAAGAGACTCTATATCATTTCAGACAATGGCTGGCCTATCTCTTCTTTAAAATCTCCAGTGGTGGAGCACTCACAACATCTGGAGGAAAGCCATTCCACTGGTTAATTGTTCTCCCTTTCAGGAAATTTCTCCTTAGTTCTAGCTTGGTTCACTCTTTGATTAGTTTCCATCCATTGCTTCTTGTCTTGTCTTAAGGGGCTTTTGAGAATAGGTTGACCCCCTCTCCTTTGGGGCAACCCTTTAGATATTGTACTGCTACCATGGCAACACTAGTCCTTCTTTTCACTAGATTAGATATACCCAAGTTGTTCAGTCTATGCCCCCTAATCATCTTTGTTGCTCTTCTCTGCACTTGTTCCAGAGTCTCAAGATCTTTTTTATATTGTGGCAACCAAAACTGAATGCAATATTCCAAGTATGGTCTTATCAAGGTCTTATAAATCAGTACTAAGCCTTCATGTGATCTTTAGTCTATCCCTCTGTTAATGCAGCCTAGAACTGCATTGGCTTTTCTGGTAGCTGCAGCAAAAGAATCGTAATGAAGCAGACATTGGTTTGCTATTAAGAAAAAATTGAAAGAACTGTTCAATATCAGATTGACCCAGAAAGTGGTGGACCATCTTTTATTGAGATATTCTGAGTATTTGTCCCAACTAAAGCACTAAGTCAATTGGGTGACACTAGACAAGCCCCTCTCTCTCAGTCCTAGAAAGTGGGCAATGACAAACTGTTGGAATATTTATGAGCAGGAAGAGTCATGTGGTAACTCAGTCAGCCAATGTGAAGAAAGTGCTACTGAGTCTGTGCAAAAGAGTATTGAGTTAGAAGCTGAATTCGCATTCTCAGGTTTGTCTCTGTATCTCTCTGTAAGAAGTCTTCATTGAGCTATGTTGCTGTAAAGAAGAATGTATGGTATTGTAAATATTTTGATATAAATATAAAGAAGTTATTTTGAATCAGCTAAATGCAGTCAACTGTGAGAGCTTCTGATTTATTTTTCACCAACAGAAAAATTAAAATTCTCTAATATGTTATGGGCCCAGAGCTTACTAAGGATTACATGTAATTTAAAGCTGGAAGAAATTGCCTGTGTTTAGAAAGTATAAGAACAAGGCAGAATTAGCAGAATGGCTGCAATGGAATTTAAGGGAAGCTCTTTGCCTCGTTTGGGCCAGAAGAATTACATTATATGGGCTACAAAAATGGAATGTTTGCTCAAAGCAAAAGAGCTGTGGTATATCGTAGAAAATCCACCACAAGTGTTTGTAGCTGCTGATCAGAAAAGTCATGATCAAGCAATGGCTTATCTCATCTTTAATTTAGATGATGAACAATTTCTAAATGTTGCAAATTTAAAGATTGCAAAGGAGATTTGGTTGAAGTTGAGAGCTGTGCACGTGAATGTCTCTGCATGCAATATAGTACAATTGTCAAGGGCCTGTTTGCAACCATGTGAATCTGTGGAACAGCATTTAAATAAAATGCAAAGTTTATTTTTGGACTTAGAACAATGTGGGATTAAATTCCCTGAGTCCCAGAAGGTTTTATTGGTGTTGAACAGTTTAGATAAAACCTGGGACAGTATTTGAGTGTAAAGAAGAGCAAGACTTAAATTTTGAGGCTTTAAAGGCATGTTTGTTTAATGAAAAAGAAAAGCAACATTTTAGGAACAGCCAAGAGGAGGAGAAATTCCTGAGGAGGGGGTCCAGACTGCAAGTCTCCGGAGAAGAAACAAGGAGCAGATGGGACCAAGTTGCATCAAAAGATAGATTTTGCAAGCAGAGAGCACAGCAAGAAAAGGATTGCTACATTTGTGGAAACACACATCTGAAAAGGAACTGTTTGCAGAGGAACAATTTGCAGCAAAGGACATTTGTGCAAGCAAAAAAGACTGATTTGCAAAAGGAACATTTTGGTGTTGCAAACCTTTGTTATAGCAACAATAGAGACAAGTGACTAATAGATAGTGGGGCAAGTCAAACAATTGTTAATGACTCTGAATTATTTTTCAGGCTTGTTCCAGTAGCACAAGAAGCTGTGGCTTTGGCAAATGGCCAGAAAGCAAAAGTCATTGGAAGAGGTGATGTAAAAATTCCATATTTGGAATCAAAGTTTACCAGTGTGCTTTGTGTACCTGAGATGGAACATAATTTGTTAAGTGTGTCTAATTTAGACAAACAAGGTTTTGAGATCATTTTTGTAAATGGGAAGTGTTATGTCCCGAGCCTTGCAAACGGGCTCGGGGCGTTTGCAGGCAGTCCCGGGCAGGTGCAAGCTGCCCGGGACCAGACAGGCTGTCGCCAGCGCCTGTGCACATGTGCGGGTGCTGGCGCGGGAAAAGTAACACATTGACCTGGGAAATGCCTATATAAGAGGCTGGGAGCTTTTGGGCATTGCTGAAGCCTTCATCTGTAAGCTGAACACAGAATAAAAGAAAACCTGAGAACTACAACTGCTTCTCGAGTCTTGCCTTTCGCGAAGGACTCAATACTGGCGATGAAGGTGGGATGCCTTACATCGACTGAAAAGGAAGAGGTGTAAGCTTACCCAAGTGAGTCCTGAGCGGCGGAATGGCATTGACCCGGCAGCTACCCGCCAATCCAGTGCGCATTCGGGGGTAGGCTGGCTGATAGACCCGTCTCCTGAAGATGGCAAAGGTTGGAAGGCTTTCGGATTTCGACGTCTCACATCCAGAGCGGTGGGAGTCCTACGTAGCCAGGGTGGAAAACTACCTCAAGGTGAACCAAGTGAGGGAAGATAGCTTGAAGGCTGCCACCCTGCTTTGTGTCTGCAGTCAAGACGCCTTCGAAATCACAGAGAACCTTGCAGCACCTGTTCCATTAGAGTCTGTCAGCTACGCAGATCTAAAGAAGCTACTGAAGGAGCACTTCCAGCCCAAAATGTCCGTCATCGCATGGCGCCACACCTTCGAGCAGAGGGATCAATGATCCGGAGAATCAGCCAAAGAGTACATCGCCGCATTGAGGAAGGCCGCCAAGCACTGCAAGTTCAAGGACCTCGAAGAACGACTGACGGACCGATTCGTGTGCGGGTAAGGCATCGAGATCTACAACAGAGGCTTTTCGCCAAAGAAGACTTGTCCTCCCAAGATGCCTTAAGAGAGGTCACCGCAGAAGAAGCAGCAGGCGGTGCCGTCAAGAACATGCGGCCGATCAGGAACAGTCCAGATGTTGCATCCGTGCACCAAGAGGACGTCCAAGGGAACTCCGAGGAGGATCCGGACGAGGAAGTCGACCGTCTCCACCCCACAAAGGAAGGGAATCAGAAAGGAAGCTCTTCAGCTCCCCTCAAGTGCATCGGCTGTGGAGGTTGCCACAGGAGAACCGACTGCAAGTTCCGCTCCGCTATCTGCCGGGCGTGCGGGAAACAAGGACATATTGCAGCTGTGTGTCTGGGCCGACGAAAGGTACAACCTCAGGAAGAACTGCGCCTGAAAGGTACCAGGGTCCCCAGCCAGAATAGGGTAGGTTTTTGCGCTTCGCGAAGGAGCATCTTCAGGACAGGCACACACAAGCCCATCAAGAAAAAGCTGTCACTCAAGGTGAAGCTACAAGGGGTTCCATTAACTATGGAACTAGACACGGGGATCTGCCCTTTCAATCATATCCTTGCATACATTTAGGAAGATTTGTTCCGGCAGTGGAACTCAGGCCAAGTTAAGGCCTTCTGACATTGTGTTAACAGACTTTCAAAATTCGAGAGTGTGTGTTAAGGGGGAGGCCACCCTTAACGTACAGTATAAGAATTTTGAAGGTCCACTAGACATATTAGTAGTAGGGGGTGAACGAACGAGTCTCATAGGACTCGATTGGTTTGAAGCCTTGGGGATACACGTCACGGGGCTCAACAGCTTACAAACACTCGACCTACAGGAAGTCTGCAAAGAATTTGCAGATGTCTTCAGCCCCCAGCTGGGCACATTCAAGGGACCCCCTGTGTCCTTAAAACTAGACCCCACTGTCACTCCCATTAGAATTAAAGCAAGAAGGGTCCCTTTTGCTTTAAAGAGTAAAATTGACACTGAGTTGGACAAACTGATCCAAC